GGAGCCGAGTCTAGGGGACAAGGAAGACAAGAGCGGGCAGGGTGACGGAGAGCTCCGGTGTTGACGGCGCCGGACAGCGGATCAGCGGAGCCGAGTCTAGGGCACAGGGAAGACAAGATCGGCAGGGTGACAGAGGGGCTCAGGTTCACGGCGCCGGACAGCGGACCAGCGGAGCCGAGTCTAGGGCACAGGGAAGACAAGAGCGGGCAGGGTGACAGAGGGGGCTCGGTTCACGGCGCCGCAGGCATCCGGCGGCGGGTGTTGACACAGGTGGTCCGCCCGGCCCGACGCCTCAGCAAGCGACCCCGGCTCGCCCTGCTTCGCCGGCAGGCCACCGAAGACCAGGCTACATCGTACCGTGACACTGAAAGACCAGCCGCTACGCCTTAGGGACTGCAGGACCGAGTCCTTGCACTGGATGTCAGGAGTGATAAACCCGTGACTCCTGGTATTTTGCCAAATGACCTGGGGTGTTTGATCGTGCAGGTCTCCTTCTAACTCTGCAGCATAAAAACATTCACGTGTGTGTAGATGGCTGCCATTTTCCCGACGCTACTCTGCCTATGTGGGTATTGCAGCTAAAGACATGACTCCAACCGAAAGACAAGCGATCTTGAATTTCTCGCACTTCCAATGAATGTTCAAAGATCCAGCCAGTGAATGTTTCTATTTGTCCTTGTTGTCGTGCACTGTCGATTAGCTGCGAATGTGTTCACATGCTTCATTTGATAGGTCGGTGACAGTAAGGCGGACGGTCGTATTCATTTACCCGTTCCGACAGTAACATGCCGCAAAGCGTTTAGCTATCGCTCTCTTTCCGGAGACAAACTATGGCGCTGCTCGAGCCAAAGACAGAGGCCAGCCCAACATACCCAAAACAATGTGAGATGAACGTTTCCTACCCCGGGCTCTGTCACTGTTAACAGGTAAGGCAGCGCTGTGTTTCCTTTGTAATCGCATTCGCATTAATACCCCATCGAGTAAGATTAAATCGAGACCTTAGTCCATTAGTTTGGAGTAATTAACTCCACAACCAGCAGGTCAGATACAGATCGCCTTGATCATACAGATTAGAGTACAATTAGGTCGCGGAACGACACTGGCTACAAGCACTGTCACGTGCAGCAGGTGGGCGGAGAAACACATCTCATCCGCGCGCGGCCTGTTATCCCCCGATAAACGAGACAGACTCTCCACCTGTCCGGAAGAATTCCACTTCCCGGCACGTGACTTGTCAGACGGGAATGTGAGGGCAGCTGCGTGCTAGACTGGCTCGTGACGACGGATACAAACACGCTGATGCGGACGCTGGGCTGGATCGACAGACCCACAAACTTTGCTGTCCAGATGGAAACTACTTAGTAGGCACTGGATCACAGACAACGTCGGCAGCTCAGGATGCAGCCATAGAAACGCAATATCTTGAAAGTTCTGGATGCTTAGAGTGGGTGAATGATATGCACATTTTGTCACTGATGTCAGAATCCGATTTGTATCAAATGGTAGTGTTCAGCTGTCTGCAACACACCATGACTACGTTTTGCATGATAAGATCGAATATAAGTAAAATCAGTGCAGATGCTAGGCATGAACAATAGTTGACATGTTGTAAGAAAATCAACGGATGCTTTTCTGAAGCGTAAAAAATGTTTCAATGTCATTGCGGCTTTTTTGACTCACTGCTGGGGCAGCCTGCAGCCCTTTTCTTGAATCATGCACTTCCATTTGGGTGCTGAGAGGGATTGAGGGTGCAAAAGTTCTCCAACTTCCTATTTTTAGAACGCAGCGAAAATTGCCATATAAAAGTGGCACTTTAATTCCAAGCGGCGGCGCAACGGCAGATTGTTTCTCCTACCTAAGACTCTGTGTGCACAGCTCACCACCCTGTCACAGCATCGCACGGCTCTGGACAGTGGGAGTCTCGAGCCAGGGACACTGTGCGACGCTGCCTGGCCGCCAGCGAAGCCGCAATCAATGCCAGCCGGTGCTCTCTGCTCCTCAGGCTTGGGCGTCGCCTGGGGCTCCCAACTGATGGGAGCAAGATCAAAGAGCTGGGCTCACTCCTGCTACAGGTACGCTGTCAGCGTCGCTCCGGGTCGCACTGGTGAAGCAGCCAGTGAGGCCAGTGGGCGATGCTGTGGGACCGTCTTGCCGAACTATACCGTAATGGCCCATGATTTGGCGGTCGGATGAATACTGCATCACTTATGCTTGAAGGCAGCCTGTTTCGAGCTCCAATGTTCTAAGCGCATGACGTGCGTAAGCGCTTATGTTCGCATTGCAGACGTCCGAGCTGCAGAAGTTCTTGCGTAGAAATGTTTCCCTCTGCGATCGTTCGACCATTGCAATCGCTCATATATAAGTTGCTGCTAATGTTAGTTTGCAACCGGTGTGTTAGTGTCGCGGTTGACCAGATGGTAGATGCTCGTAACGTGCGTACGTTCGCATCGCAGATTTTTGTATGTCAAAACAACTTACCTAGATCAGGAGCCATGCGGAGAATTAGAGACAGTGGCTCTGGGATTGACGACAATGCCAATATTTTGTGTACGTTCAGTTTGGGCTGAATCCTTTGCATTACAGTGCTGCAGTATCAGTGTTCGTATCAGGTCATAGAAATGTCTTGTGATAGTGTTAAATCTATCGCATTAAAATCGTTACTAATCGAATTTCCATGGTGACGGGGCATGGTGTGGTCAGCTAAGGCCCTTGAGGGATTGCGCATCGTGTTGCAGCAGTTAGTACACGAGATATTTTGGACAACTTCTTGTGGACCACGATTTTTAGAGGAACTATGCTACCGTATGTCCGTCATTTTTCCCATCAGGCCGTCACAGTTCTTTTCGGCCCATGTTCCACCCTGGTTAAAGATTGTCAAACTCTAACCCATGTGACGTATAGAGCCAAGCTTTCATACCAGTGGATTAGTAGACTCAAGCACTCAATCCGTTTACTGAGATATTATAACCAAGTGCGCAGTGCGCCGGATGGTTCATATCTGCGAATCTCTCGACCGAGGTCTCGATTTAGTACACTCTGGTACTCGTATTACGAACACCGGAGTTGAATGGACGCTCGCAATTATGGACCAACGACTGGTGGCCTGCGTGCGCAGACGCTGGAGGGGTTCGTGTTCATCGTGGCCTCGGATGGCACCGTATCTACATCTCCGAGACGGCCTCCGTACATCTGGTCTATCGCAGGTCAGTACCGGCGAGCGGCGGGCGGGACGACCTCCGTACATTTGAGTCTATGGCAGGTTAGTGCCAGCGAGCGGCGGGAGGGACGGCCTATATATCTGGGTCTAACGCAGGTCAGTGCCGGCGAGCGGCGGGCGGGCGGCCCATATACATCTGGGTCTATCGCAGGTCAGTGGCAGCGAGCGGCGGGGGGGGGGGGGGGGGGGACGGCTTATATACATCTGGGTCTATCGCAGGTAGTGCCAGCGAGGCGGGGGACGGCCTATATATCTGGGTCTACGCAGGTCAGTGCCGGCGAGAGGCGGCGGGAGGCCATAACATCTGGGTCTATGCAGGTCAGTGCCAGCGAGCGGCGGGAGGGACGGCTATATACATCTGGGTCTATCGCAGGTCAGTGCCAGCGAGCGGCGGGGGACGGCCTATATACATCTGGTCTATCGCAGGTCAGTGCCAGCGAGCGGCGGGGGACAGCCTATATACATCTGGGTCTATCGCAGGTCAGTGCCAGCGAGCGGCGGGGGGACGGCTTATATACATCTGGGTCTATCGCAGGTCAGTGCCAGCGAGCGGCGGGAGGGACGGCTTATATACATCTGGGTCTATCGCAGGTCAATTGCCAGCGAGCGGCGGGCTGGACGACCTCCGTACATTTGAGTCTATCGCAAGGTCAGTGCCAGCGAGCGGCGGGCACGCGGGTGGGACGACCTCCGCATATCTGCGTCTATCACAGGTCAGTTCCAGCGACTGGTAGGTGGAACGGGTCTCCGTACACCGGGGTCTGTCCCAGGTGAGTGTCAACGAGCGGCGGGCGGGACGGCCGGGCCTCTGCCTCGCTGGCTGACTGCTCGCCAAACCCGTAGTCACATGTGCGAGTGTGGCACGTCGGTGAGCAGGCGCAGGTATAGTGTGGAGACGCACCTGCTGCGCAGCCGGCCACCGCCACCGTGTCCGTTTTGATCAGACTCTGTTATGATCTCCCACAGCAAAATTTCAGGCAGCACGAGCACTGCGACGTCTTTGTTCTCCATCTGTCGCCCTGGGTGCAGTGGCCGCCACTGGCGCGGCGTGCCCTGTCACCAGCGTCACCGTTCGTCACGCGCCCTCGCCCGCCCCACAGCTAACCCGTGTGAATGGCTCGGCTGTTTGCCGGCACAGGGTCTCAGTCCTGGCTCTGTGTTTGAGGGGCAGGTCCAGTTTCTCCGACAGGAATGTGGGATTTGTCATTCCAGACGGCATTGCGACGCGTCTAGATGGGTTGACTTCACACAGAGCCCGCACCACCGCGTGTGTGGTCTGACTGTATTAGCGCAAAGCGCTGAGTCCCGTCCGACCAACTTGACAAATGCGGTGTTCCGCCATCGTTCCAATTCCTCTCGTGATCTGAGCGCTGTGCTGCATTTTCGCGTACCCCTGTTCTATTAGCTACCGCTGATGCGTCACATCCCCCCCCCCCCCCCTGTGTGTTTGGGTTGTGTGTCGGAGTTGTGTGTTGGGGTTGTGTATTCGGGTTGCGTGCTCACTTCATCTGTCGTGGTGCTCCGCATCTGTGGTGAGCTGCTGTGGTGGCGTGCTGCTGGCAGCTCAGCCAGGACCCGTGCCGTGCTCAGCTCCTGTTCGGCTGCTGTGGTGGTGTGCTCCTGATTGAGCTGCCAGGACCCGTGCCATGCTCAGCTCCTGTTCGATTGCTGTGGTGGTGTGCTCCTGATTGAGCGGCCAGGACCCGTGCCATGCTCAGCGCCTGTTCGGGCTGCTGTGGTGGTGTGTTCCTGATTGAGCTGCCAGGACCCGTGCAGTGCCCAGTTCCTGCTCGGCTGCTGACCTGCCGCCGCCGCCGCCGTCGCCGCCGCCACCGCTCTGTCGGCGGTAGCCGCCCCTCACCAGGCAGCGGGCTGCTCTCGCTTGCCACTCCTTGGCACCGCTCAGCGAAGTGAGGGTCTCTCCCTGGCCGATACGGTACGCAGACCTGGGCCCGCCCGGCGGATAGGGGAGTGCGCGGCTGGACCGGGGCCCGCCCGGCGGATAGGGGAGGGCACGGCCGAACCGGGGCCCGCCCGGCGGATAGGGGAGCCACGGCCGGACCGGGGCCCGCACAGCGGCTAGGAGAGGCCACGGCCGGACCGGGGCCCGCACTGCGGGTAGGAGAGGCCACGGCCGGACCGGGGCCCGCACTGCGGGTAGGAGAGGGCCACGGCCGGACCGGGGCCCGCACGGCGGGTAGGAGAGGGCACGGCTGGACCGGGGCCCGCACAGCGGGTAGGAGAGGCCACGGCTGGACCGGGGTCCGCGCACAGCGTATTGTGAAGGGTAAGGCACATCAGGGGCCGGACTGGATCAGGTTCATGCGTGGGTCAAGCAGCCTGGGACCGTCGATTTGGCTCGGTGGTACAGAAACCGGACGATAGACGTCTACAGCAGACAATTTTTATCAACTGGTAAGCATACAGGGTTTGCCATGGGGACAAGTTCGTTTGTCATTGAAACCCCAAGTTAGTGCGTCGCAGTCTCGCCGACTCAAAGCAGTATGGGATGTCTTCCATCCAGCTATTCTTCCTTGCCTACCTCAGATTTGTTAGACACTTTATTTAGTTGCAGAATATTTAAACATGTAATAAATTTGATAAAACGGGGTATACGTGCCCCATATATACATGTATGATACGTGTCCCCGACGGCCAGCATGTAAATACGCTTATTGTGAGGATTTGTTCCGTATCTGCCGGACAATTGATGTTCAACTAAATGCAAGCTTTTGCGACCAAACGGGTCATCCGTCTTGCCACATTCGGCTCACAGCAGATTGGAAGCATCTGGAAGTGTTCAACTTAAGCCACAATTAAAACAAAAACGCACAAGATACACAAATAGAACAGGTAGCACATATGTATAGTTCAAAAAGATGAGGCGAATCATAACATGCAAAGCCTTCTAAGGGGTGTGTGAAGCTAACAGGGTCATACTGCACATCGATCTGCAACACAGACAAAACACGCAGTAACCCCAATCATGGATGTCGATTTGTAAAATGACTGAGAGGCCAGATTCGTTGAAGTCGTCACGAGGGAACAGGTCCAAAAATTTCTCAGATTTTGTGCCTTACGTTCTGGCCATCCATTGTAAACCTAGACATAAATAAATAAATATATATACATATATATATATATATAAGGCACGAAATCTGAGAAATTTTGGACCTGTTCTCTCGTGACGACTTCCACGAATCTGGCCTCTCAGTCATTTATATATGTATATATGTATATATAAATTATATATAAACGTAAATTGGATATACATATTTGTAAAGCTCATGCGTGTAGCTCCAGCAATCATACATGGAAGCCCTGTAGATTGCATTACCTTTTCACAAAGCCACCTGTTTGGTAAAGGTGAAGGGGTGCAGCTGCAGCTTTCTCTTACATTCGGAAGAATTAAATTGATGAATAAGTTACCATTACTTGCTAAGGTAATTTGTTGAGCATTTATATAAACGAACGGAGTGTCCATTGGCTGCATATAAGTGGCTGTGCAGCCCATTTATGCGCCGGTTCTCGACACACCGAAATTTCATCGGTAAGACATGAATTTTAGTGAATGTTAAAATTAGTGATTATAGTTATATTAATTATAGTTATCATAGTTATTGTGATATATCATAATTATTAAATGTATAAATATATATATATATATATATATGTATATAAAAGTTATTGTTGCTATTAATTACCCGCATAATTCAAGAACATGACTTCCAATTTTTCCCTACTGCGCTTAGGCCAGTGCCCTCCTGTTTAGAATCCCTTTGCCACGCTCTTCTCAATAACACAAATTGCGAGCCAGCTATACGCCTGGGGGACACCGTCCCAGTCTGTTGTGTCTCGTAAGGGTGTGTGGTGTGGTGTGGTGTGAAGGGTGTGCAAGTGGCCATCGCCCATTTCACTTAGAACTTGTGAAAATGATGCACCCGGCACAGCAGTTCCATGCGCGATGCACGCTGAGCGTAACAGCGTTGTTAGTTAAGCTGGCTCCCCATTTACCATGCGGTTATACCGACGTACGCATACTCGGCGCTCAATTGCAGTGGCATCGTAAACGTAGAACTTAGATCGAAATAGAGTCGTAAATTTGCCTTCCCATCAACCTGTTTTGGATTCAGAATGACCACCTTTGCCTAGAATTGAACAGTGGGAGAACTCCATAAAACAATTTTGGCCATGCGCGCTCGCAAGCCTTCCAGCAAAACCCCGGCGCCCGGCGTTGCAGTCTCCAAAGACCTTGCCGCATCGATCCTGCGTTTAACACCAGGCGTTGGCCAACGGGGCAGGCAAAAACGACAACGTTTCTGGAGAAAGTGCCTTCAAGCGCTTTTGATGTCAACTGGAACGTGCAGAAAGTGTTCCGGAAATATGTTTCGGCTATTCAATCTTTATATTTATGATAGAACCGGATTAGAATTTACAGCACCGTGACCTGGCTCTAGAATTTGGTGGTAGAACTAGACCAATAAAGATAAGATCTCCATTTGCATGTTGTTGTCGCTGTTGACATCTTGAGAAGAAGAGCTGAAAACTCTGAAAGTTAGATATACGCCGCAGTCCAATTTCTGAACGGTACGAATTGATTTCAAGGGACTTTTTGAACTATCATTTCATGATAGCTGGTCTCGGGCGCCAAGCGCCCACTGACCACAGCTGGCTGGCAGGGCCTCCCTCGCCTGCCGCCGGCAGCTGGAGGCGGGCCCAACAGCCGGCCGGTCTACAGCGGCACGCTAGGCCACAGCCAGTGCGGGGGGGGGGGAGGACGGCCTGGCCGCCGAGGGAACAGCACGCAGCACAGTACAGCCTTACGACAGCACGCGGCAACCGGCGGAGCGGCGACACCACGGTAGCGGCCGGCCAGCGGTACTCGCCAGCAGCCGTCGGCGGCCGGGCCGGTCCGCAGGGCCGCGGCATGCCGTCCGGTGGCGGCTGGAGCTCCGGGCCGCCGTGACTGACCGGCCTGTCGCGGCGGCCCGGCAGTGGCGCCAGCGGACGTCCATGGGTCGAGCGTCGGACATCGACAGCACAGATGTGTGCCGCTGAGGTCTCTACGAAGCAGGCGCCGCCTGCGTGCTGTTCTGCTGGATATGCGTGTGCCCCTCCGGCGGCCGCCTGCGCCGACGAACTGGAGCGCTCACAAGCCGCACACTAAGCCGACGCTGTACCCGAACGGGCGCAGTGCCTATAATGTGCGATACGGTGTGCTTAATCACGCTTTCAAGGCACACCGATGGCCGCGCAAAACAATGGTTGTGGGAGGGTTCGTCCCGCCCGGTTGATGTATTTCCAGCGGCGCTCACAGCAGATCCCTCACCGCCACTTCCCGCATTGATTTGCTTGAAATCGATGCACTTCAAACGGGACCGGGAGTGCGACGGACTGTCGATTGTTCAACCGAGGCCTCCCGTACACGCACGGCTTATCTACCGTCAGATTACGTGGCGTATCTTTCGCCTACAATGCGTGACTTATCTGGCGTAGGATCACCCATTCGTTTTTCGTTAAGATGACCTTAGTCATCTTTCAACACACGATGCATCCCTGAATGGGATCATTAAATCCTCGTTGGGCAAAGGGGCAGCAGACTCAGCATAACATTTTCGAAGCTTTGCTGGATCGAACTGGGTGCTAATCCCGGTCTAATCCTGGCCTAACATGCAAAGCAGATATTTCATGTGAGCCGTGTGTGTGTGGGGGGGGGGGGGGGGAGGGTCGCCGGAGCCTCTTTGAGTTCGAAACGTATGGTGTGCCTATGTCTAATAGGATTGGTGTCAAATCATTGGAAACGTTTATTGGGCACAATAGCACCTTGACTGTACCTTGACTGACCAAGCACCTTGACTGTAAGCTTCTATCAGCGCAAAAACACTGAAAAGGCCAAATGACATCTGCATTTCGGAGGACAGTCCATCGTCGGGTAATGGACCCGACGGAGAAACGTCATCTGATGTCATCTGATGTCATCTGATGTCATCTGATCGAAGAATGATATGCGAACATCGATAGTTGTATTGAGAGAATCATTTGGTCAGTCAACCGACGAATGGTTGTCAACCTAATTGCGGCGACACTATTTTAGTCTATGTTGCATTTTCTGCACTTTTATGACCTGAAGTCAAGGTGATTTGTGTATGATGAAGCATTAATCGGCTCAGAGACGGGATGTGGCTTATGAGAGAATAACTTCCAGTGCCCGTCTACGTCTACGTGCAGCGCCCGGCCTCCACATACGGTGGTGCTGCCCGGCAGGGTATGTGTGGCACTCGGCCTCCACATACGGTGGTGCTGCCCGGCAGGGTATGTGTGGCACCCGGCCTCCACATATTGTGGTGCTGCCCGGCAGGGTACGTGCGGCGCCCGACCTCCACACACGGTGGTGCTGCCCGGCAGCGTACGTGCGGTGCCCGGCTTCCACACACGGTGGTGCTGCCCGGCAGGTGGAGCTGACGGGGAACAGCATCTATGACTACATCCACAGCTCGGACGTCGAAGAGATGGCTGCCATGCTGGGCCAGCGGGTGGGCCTGGAGGCGGACCAGCCGTACCATGCTGACGAGCAGGCGGTTGGAACCGGTCAGAAATTGGCCGGCGCTGGTGAGAAGCTGGGCGGCGCTGGTGAGAGATTGACGGTGCTGGTGAGAGACTGACCGGCACAGATCAGAGGCTAGGTGATGCTAGTGAGAGACTGGGCAACGCTGGTGACAGACTGACCGGCACAGGCCAGAGACTGGCCGGCGCTGATGGGAGACTGACTGGCACGGACGAGAGACTGGGCGGTGGTGGTGAAGACTGGGCGTCACTGGTGAGAAACTGACTGGAGCTGGTGAGGGACTGACCAGTGCTGGTGAGAGACTGGGTGGCACGGATGAGAGACTGGGCGGTAGTGGTGAGAGACTGGGTGGCGCTGGTGAGAGACCGGGCAATGGTAGTGGGAAACTGGGCGGCGCTGGTGGGAGAATGGGTGGCGCTGGTGAGAGACTGACCGGGGCTGGTGAATGTCTGGATGGCACGGATGAGAGACTGGGTAATAGTTGTGAGAGAGTGGGTGGCGCTGGTGAGAGAATGGGTGGCGCTGGTGAGAGCGGTGGTGAGAGCCGACACCGCCGTGACAAGGTTGAGGGTCTAAACGGTGGTAACACGCTCGTCGAAGGATGAAATGCGCACATTGATAGTTCTGTTGCAAGAAGTCATCACAGGTGGAGAAAACCCGTCGTTGCTTACATACAGTAGAATGGGTAACCGGATGGGGTCAATAAAATGAATCGGTAACGGGGTTGGGTCGATACCAATTTTGCCAAAATTGCGGCATGAGCCAAGGTATCCATAGCGCGTTCAGGACATGTTGAGTAGAGGCCTTAACGAATACTTTCTAATGCAACTTGTTGTCCTTTTGATAACAGCCTCCCGAACACACGGCTTTAGTCGGTTATTAACGTAAAAGATGGGTGTCAAAGCTCTTAAAATCCTTCCATAATTTAGAAAAAGGCCAATAAAAACTCAAACGGGTGAATAACCGGCAGGTGCGACCGATGGGGTAGCGTCATAGTAAGTGAACAGCTTTGCGTTTGTGTCGAGTCCAGAGACTTTAATGCCAACTTAACTAGACCGATATTAGGGCCAATAACAGAATGCATTACTGCGTTGTAATTGTCATATCAAAAGTATCACTTTAATTCCAACGCGGGCGCAACGGCAGATTGTTTCTCCCACCTAAAACTCTGTGTGCACAGCTCACCACCCTGGCACAGCATCGCACGGCTCTGGACAGTGGGGGTCTCGAGCCGGGGACACTGTGCGACGCTGCCAATTACAAGTAAATTCAGCCGTGCAGGGATGGCTGAGACGCACGCAGTCCGTGCGCAGAGATCACCAGCCCTGTTGTCCCCGCTGCGGCCCATTCAGAGGTGCTTCACCAGCGGGCGAGCGGACGCCGACAGCGCCCCTCCTTCCGCCGGCAGACTTTGAAGTGGAGTGTAGCTTCGTCGTGCGCATGAAGTGCGTTCTGGCCAAGAGGAACGCCGGGCTGACAGCCGGCGGCTATAAGGTAACGGGCAGGGGCGAAGACAAGGGGTGCAGGAGCTCTCGCTGGGCTGGACATACGCCCGTTCAGTGACAAACGGGCAGGTGCTGAAATTACAGCAGCACCCGCATATGGAACGACTGCGGTATTATAACGGCATGCCGGCATGCGGCATTATAACGGCATTTTAACGGCATTGTACGGCATACTTCGTTTCACTTAAGACATTGGTAACACCGTCGCGCTCATTTCACTGACTGTAGCGGACTGTCCATAAGTTTTGTATTGATCAAAAAGGATGTTTGCTGTTAGATCTAAAGAAAAGCCAAACTCCCAGCGTCGCAATGCCTTGTTTGTTTTCTATATCAAAGCCCCCATTGCACCAACAGGTCTTTGCTCTTAATACGCATAGCAACCCCTCCTCGAGGTTTGCGTGGTGTTGTCACATATTTATCGCTGTCTTCCGTAACGGTACCATATCATACGGCATTACGTAGGTACCTGCATGCTATTGAGCCTACTGGTGGTTGTCCGCCCTGGCTTGTAGGAGCCACGCGCCAGAGATACCTCTGTCACAAACTACTGCCGTCCGCAAGCTGTTACATGTGACGTCAAAAGTAACCACATCACAACGATTTGTGCGGGTCCTACGCTCCAGTACGGGTGTGGCATACCTACCCGTGACGTCATAAGTGACAACGGAGATTGACAATAAAGAACGGACCATGCCAATGTCGGATTGGTGAGCCAATGCGCCTGGCCAGAACAGCATCAGCTGACGCCGATCCGGGCCCAGCTGACCGCGCTTCGACCCCTAACCGGCCACGGCGCTCCCCTCGCCCCCACCGCCACGCTCCCAACCGTGGCCCGTGACCTCATTCCACGCCGCAGGCGATTCACTGCAGCGGCTACCTCAAGTGCCTGCGGCCGTACTCGGGCGTCAGCGCCGGCCAGGTGCGGGGCCTGGTGGCCGTGGGCCACTCGCTGCCCTCCTCGGCCGTCACCGAGGTCAAGATGGCCGGCAACACGTTCATGTTCCGCGCGAGCCTCGATATGAAGCTCATCTTCCTAGACGCGAGGTGAGAGGCCGCGTGGGCACGCTGAGGCGTTTGGACCGGAGGCAGCAGTGGAGGGCAATAAAGGCCGACAAGAGTGTTAGGGAGCACAGTGTAAAGTAAGGAAGGAAATCGTTCACGTTCTTACCCGGTAAATGCTTCTTTAATGAGTGAGGCAATTAGTGCAAACAATACCATTCATTTCACACGTACCTTGCTTCATTTTTTTCAGTTCCCTGGGGAATAGACAAGCGATTTACATACATCATTCCTAGCCACCTCATTGTCACAGTAATGGCTGTCGATACGCGTGTATGCAGTGCTTGTCCGCACGCGGGTGCAGCTTTGGTTCCGCATGCGACGCTCACACAGCGCGATTGTGCGAATATCTCCGGCCATCGATTTGCCATTGCCTGTACCGAATGGCCTACACCGCTGCGCCGGTCGTGACACACGAACAAGGGCGCATACAGCAGTTGGTAAGCAGACCCTCCCCCACCTATTCACCGCCACCGAGATCTCTGACACGGACTTAACCCGTCGATATGAGCCCCGGACACGAACTCAGCAGCTTAAAACAACGGGCTTTGTGACGTAATGTGTGTCGTGTGACGTGATGAATGCGATGAAGTCGGCCCCCAGAGCTCCCGCTGACAGGGGGACCGCTGGCGTGATGTCCCCAGCCCGAGGTGGTGCGTGTGGCACGAGCGGCGCTTTGACGAGTGCGGTTCCCGCAGAGTGCTGCCTCTGACCGGGTACGAGCCGCAGGACATGATCGAGAAGACGCTCTACCACTTCGTGCACGCCCACGACGCCCACAGCGTGGCTCAGGCGCACAGACTGCGTACGTGTTTTGCCGTAGGGCCGCCAGCGTATGTGGAGTGATCGCACCGTAGTGTCGTCCTCTCTTACGACGGAAAGTGCATCTGAAACCACCCCTTGACGTTTGTTGTTCTCTTCACCCGTGTCTGATTCCATGGCCAGCCAACTGTGCTAGTGACGATTCCCTGACGAGGAGCTAGGTGGATTGATCGGTATTTGGCTTAAGTGGCGCTTCGACTGCTTTAAGAGAAACGGTATGGTGAGTCAGCTGGTTATCTGACGCATCACACTGGACCACAGCTGGAGATGTAATGGCCCAGCGAGCGATCTGGAACTCGTCATGATGAACATAGCGCAGGATGTAACGAGCCAGCGAGCCACCTTCTGCGTAACAGTGAGTGCAACGAAAAAAAGCGCAAACTGCCTGCATGCTGTGACTCGCTGCGAAGCCTTGTGACACTAGCCGACGCGCACTACATCCTGCTTTTACAGTGTTATACAAGGGCCAGGCGAAGACCAAGTACTACCGGTTTCTGACCAAGTCGAGCGGCTGGGTGTGGCTGCAGAGCTACGTCACCATCGTCCACAACAGCAGGTCTTCCCGGCCGCACTGCATCGTCAGCGTCAACCACGTGCTCAGGTCGGACAGACGGTGTCAGAAGACAGAAGGATGGCCGCCGTCAGTTGGCGCCGTCAGCCTTGCAATGCGAACATACGCGCTGTGGATGGCCAAGCAGACTTGTGCGATACATCGCTGTGAGCCCGACGGGTGACCTTCGTTCTAGGTGTAACGCATGGACAGGCGACCAGGGTTCCTCATCTTTATCCCAGACAGCTGCCCATCAGAGCAAGTCGCTGGCACTTCTCCCTTAGACGTGAAGGCAGCACACATGCTTAGAATAAGCAGAAATTCTTTCCGAATAATGTAGAGTGAGGTTTTGTTCGATCACGGAAAAACGCTTAATGTTTGGAATAATAAGAGAGCAAATTTCAGCCTGGTCATGCCAGCGAGTGGTTGGCACGTGGCTAGTGCCGCCACACAGCAGCTCACTGCAGCCAAGCTCATCGCTTTTCTAAAAGCTCTTCTCTTTTCTTTTAGTTCATTTATTTGCCGCCGGCTTCGCCCATCAGTCCATAAAAGCCCTGGGTCCCAGCCTGCCCGGACCGCTGACCGGCGAACGTGGCCGGTCAGGTCACGGCTCCGCCCGGGGCCCGGCGCTCACCGGCGGCCGGCCAGCGCTAGCCGCTAGCAGACAGGCTCCTGTGGCGTGCTCGAGCTATCGGAGCGGCGGCGCCACCCAAACGAGATGCGGCTTCGCGGCCACCTGCCACCTCCGGCCTGCCAGCTGACTGATCGGAGATAGGTCACAGAGCCCGCGGTTCGAAACAGCACCGCTCCGCCAGTCTCCCCAGAGGAGAGAAGGGGGGGGGGGGGGCAAGGGGTTTGAAACGCGCCTGCTCCGCCAGTCTCTCCTAGAGGAAGGAAAGGGGGAGGGGCAAGTTCTGATGCCCACCGTATATGCGGCCATTCCAGACAAAGCCGACCACCCCTGGCCCCGGAAAATTAGAGATGTGAGACGCAGCGCAGTGCCGTTGAGGAGGGGGAGGGGGGAGGGGCTGACGTCATCCTGCGCCCAATATAATGATCAGAGGCTGGCGGCGGACCGAGCGGCTAACCGCCGGTGTCCTCCCGCCGCAGTGACGTAGAGGCCGGCGGCACGTGTCTGGACGCCAGCCAGCTGCAGCCGAGCTCCGGCCGCCGCCAGGAGGAGCTGCTGACGCCGAAGCGCAGCCGCTGCTCGGCACGCGGCCCCGGCGGCCAGTCCTACCAGCCGGGCCACGCCGCCGAGGCGCTCGTGACGTACAGTGCGGCGTACCCGGAGCCGGGCGAGCCTGGTCTGCAGCCGCACACAGCAGCGGCCGCGTCCTGCCTGCCGTACAGGCGCCAGCCGGCCGGCGGGCCGGCCGAGGTGGACCCGGCCGCCTGCGAGGCTGACTCGCGGCTCCGGCTGGCCCCGGACCACCTAGCTCTCAGCGACGCTCTGGAAGACTGCGGCTCCGGTCTGCTCTGTGAGTACCCGGCCGTGAATACTGAGGCGGACGTCCGGTACCAGGAGAATGGCGTACGGTACCAGGAGAATAACGTCCGGTACCAGGAGAGCGACGGACGGTACCAGGGGAGCGACGGACGGTACCAGGAGAACGACGTCCGGTACCAGGAGAATAACGTCCGGTACCAGGAGAGCGACAGGACGGTATCAGGAGAACGAAGGGAGGTACCAAGGGGGCGGCGGGCAGTACCTGGTTTCCGACGAACGGTACGACATGGTACAAGCCCGGTACCACGAGTCCCCTGTACAGTATCGAGAGTCCCACGAACAGTATCAGGATAATGATGGAGGGTACCAGGATACCGATGGCAGGTACCGGCAAAATGGCGGGACTTACCAAGACAACAACCGGCGTCCCCTTGATAACGACGGCAGGTGCCAGGGCGGCAGCGACTACATGGAACTTGTCCAACTCGAAAACATTGACGACCAGCGTCAGGAGGCCCGCGGGATCTACCGGGACGTCGGAGAGACTTTGCTCTTTGTCCGGTGCGGGGAGGCTGGCGAGCCGAGCCAGAATGGCGCCGGCTGAGCTGGAGCGCGGTCCTGACGGAGAGCCGTCGCCCCTGTACCAGCCGGCGGCCGTCATCCGCCCGCCGCGAGAGGGTGCCGTGGCGGCGGCGGCGCGGGCCGCGCCCGACGCCCACCGCTGGCAGGAGCCGTTCCTCGCCTTCCAGCCGCTGGCGCCGCCGGCCGAGCCGTGCTGCCCGGCCGACCACTGCCGGGAGTCCGGGCAGAAGCTGGGCGGCTTCTGCCCGGAGGCGCACTGCCCGGACGGCGACTGCCCGGAGCGGTACCGGGGGCGACCGCTGGCAGAGGGTGTCCCGCTGGCCGGGCCGAACCCGCCGGCCGACGGCCCGGTGCCACATCTCTGCGACTGTCCGCCCGCCGCGGCGGGCTACACCAGCGTGATCGTGGACTCGCAGCTCTACGCCCAGAACCAGTACTGTGCACTGACGGAGCGGCGCGGCCCGGCGCGGCCCGGCGGTGGTCGGCGGCTCCCGATCTGACGTCATCATCTGTGGGCTGAGGCTCTGACTCCCCTCCGCACACCCAGGCGGCGGTCTGGGCGGGCCGGCGTCGGTGCTCCGCTGAGTGGCGGCGCGGGCCTGGCAGAGCACGGCTGCGGAAGGCTCACCCGGTCCGGGGCAGGCCGGCCTGGACCTTGTGTTGTGTTTGATCTGGTGCGTCGCGCTGCCGTGTGTTCTAGTCCAGTTGTTTGGGTGGAAAGACGCGGAGAAAGCGGAGCGGTTCGCTACTTCCGATTGCTGCTGCAAAAGACAGTTCGGTTGGGCGGGGGACAGCGCCACGAGGGTAAATGGCGGTAGGGGTGTTAGCCGCCGTTGCAAATGTTTTGCGTGTGCAAAAATAAGCACAGCGTGTGGGAAGAACGCTGGGAATGTGGAAGATATAGCATGCGTTACGTGTTTGTGTGATTATTTTAGGTGCACAGTCTGTTCTGTACCACTTACCGACATCTTGCGCACACCGTAACATTGGGCAACAATACGCGGTAAGCCAGGTATCTCCAGCGTCACTCAGAAGCCACGTTTGCATCACCATAATCTGTATTGCACAGGACTCATCGCACAATTGCCGACATGAATAATGTGTCGCTGTTTCAGTGCGTGTGTCACCTCATATTCAGTGTTGTTGATGTCAGGACGGCCAGGTTCCTGGAAACCAGAATAAAAAATAAAAGGCCAAGTACTCGGTGCGGTATCCATTTGCCGTAGCAGGTTGCATGTCGCTCTGGCACAACGATAACTGTGTGTGTGTTACACGTTAAATTGTAGAAAATCAGGCCGATCATAAACAGCAAGTTTTTCCATCAGCTCAGACATACAGGCAGAATGTGACAAAACGGACACAACCACTTCCCTCGCTGCATCGTTGTTGGCACCGGCATGACAAGATTCGCCTCCAGCTAACATTCTGTGTCTGTCACATATCTGCCCAAACGCACATGAACGTGCCGAATCTCATAATCGGCTGGGTTTTGCTGCAGCTGAAAGGAAAGCACAAAAGAGATATGGCACACCCCGAACCGTTTTGCCGACATCTGTTTTGCTGTTCGCATTCGGTTGTGCCGGAAACCGATGCAAGCGTAACAGACCAACATGTTTTTTTTCTTCCTCTTCTATACCGTTATACAAAAACAGGTAACCAGAAATGCCCTCCCCCCCCTCTCTATCCAGCGGCGCAACGAACCGTACGCTAAAGGGAGCATCCCATGGTTTTTGCGTTTTTTGCTCACCATACCTGACGTATACGGTTTGATCAATAACACCAGTCTTTGTCGCAATCCTAGATAGCTCAGAATTTCTATTGGAAGCAGCGGACGCTGCGGGAGAAATCTCATTTGACTACCTGCTGACCACTGTGAGGACCATATATTCCTTTTGCCTTGCTTTTTCCAGCGTGTGTGTTCCGTAATATTTGTAATACATTGTTATGTGAAAGTGTTTGCATAATTAATGCTACGAAATCTTGGAACACAGTTTAGAAAAAAAGATACGAACATGCGGCTTTCATCCTGCCCATTCAACGAAACATTATACTATGACTGATTTCTTCCTATGACGTTTACCACAGCGGTTCTTTTCGACGCGCAGTTTTACTTTGGGACTGGGTGTATCACATGATCCGCGTGGCGCACTGGTTCAAACTTCAACATTTTGGTGGCAGGCCCGCTGGGCCAATCACAAACTTTTTTGTCCACACTAGTAGAGGTGAGCACGGTGGTCGTCATGACGACGGGGCTCGCGACGGCAGAGAAGAAGCGTGGTGCTGTTACAAAGCGCTGACAGGGCAATTTGAACTCGAAAATAACTAAATTGATATACTTACTATATCTTGAAGGTGGTGCAGTGGCGATTCGCAGTGTAATCAGTAGACGTAACTAGTCCTGAGGTTTCACTAGGGCATGCTTTTGAAGTAGACTCTAAAGGTGGAACACTCATTTCAACACCAGAAACATAAAAACAATTCGCAGCGCTCCCAGCCAAGAAGTAGAATCAAACGCAGAGAAGCAGGCAGAGGTGGTGCAGATTCGGCAGGACTCGCGTTGTGCAATAGACATGAACAAATCATGCCGGAGAAGGCTTAAATTAGCCACAGCTGTGACAGCTAATGACAGGCCGCTGAAGTCACCCAACTTACTACTAACACGCATTCAGTGTTAGTAAACATAAGTCGGAGGGGCAATTACCTGGCCATTTTCATGCCGGTTCTTGAGCTGGATCTCCAGGGAGTCCATCCGGGTAAGCCAAGCTTGGCTGGCACCGCGCGGATGTTTCCATCGTGAATGTGAGCTGTAACCTAAACGTCTATCAGGTACTCGTTTCGATGAAAGGCACAGGTCATGGGTGTAGTAACAGCGCCACCTTCCACCTTCCACACAACCACTTTCATTTCCCCATGCTGCCAGTCCGCACGCCCACATGCCGCCAGTGCGCACCTCTCATTCATGTTGTCGCCTTGCGCCTTCCCACACGGTCATCCGGATTCCCCCCGCATCGTTACCCTGCCACATCTCCATACAGCTACCCCGCATCTTCCCATGCAGCCACCCTACACCTCTGTATTCTGCGACCACGCTCGGCAGGGTCAATTAAGCCGGGAAATCCTGCCCGAGCTGCACAGTTCAGACACCCCACTCTCCTCACAATTAGAGGTCTGTGCCGACGCGGTAGTTTCCATGGCGACGGCACACCTCGGCGCTTGGAGCGTCGAGGACTGGCGGCGGCCGACCGCCAATCATCACGAGCTGCGCTGCCCGCCCGCTCGCAGGCGGCCGCCTGGCCTGCGGGAGGCTGCTGCACACAGAGCGATGACAGCGAGTCGGTGAGACGGGGTTCTGAGTCTCATATAGTGGAAGTCTGGTCTCATGATATCAGTGGTGTGGTCCAAGAACCCAGCGGATCAGTCGTGGCTTGGAGGGTAGAAGCATGCAGCTGTGTAAAAATGAGGCAGGGAATGGCCTGGGGCCATATGTAGAAATTTGAAACTGTTCAGACGTTCCGTTATCGAGATGGGGAAATAGAGGAAATGAATAAATCCAACCGGTTATCCTTTCTGCCGCGACAACTTCGGTAACGTGATGAAATTTGACATTAGCCATACATAACAAGAATCGATGCGCAAAATGTAAAACAATTTACAATGTTTCAGAACAACTTAAACGTTCCAAGCCGACTCCGAGTTGACCGGAAGACATCTTCCGCATCTTCACGCTTGCAGTGCACAAGCCTCGAAACCCGAAGTGAGTTCATGCATCCAGCCTGGCACTACACTGCTAGTGGTGTCCAAGCCAGTCAGGCATAGTCGGAGTCTTCGTTGGGTCGAGGTGGAGTCGGTGGAAGTGAGCCTGAGCCGGAACGACGCCACCGGAGTCATCCACGAGTCTACTCAAGTATGAGTAAAGATCTCAACGGTTCTCATTACTCGAAAATCCATGTCAGCATGGAATCGATCGCAAATGCCTGCCTTCCTGCACTTTTATCAAAATTCACTCATTTGCCCAGTGCTCTTTGGAGTCGGATTCGCATTTAGTCCCGCGGGATGAGCTCGTGGTAGGAAGCGATTCCGCAAAAGCGGAATCCGGTACACAGTCGTCATGCTGTTTTGCAGCACAGAATGTCCCGCCAACGGCTGCTACACTACCGAACTACTCTTTATCACAAGTAGTCCACATAATGCCAACACAAAACCCCTTGACAATTGTCCTGTATATTGGCCGGAAATGTCGGCAAGTAATGCATACAACAGTACACAAAAGTGAAGAATACAGTCTCTTGTTCCATCCCTCCACGGATTGCACGATTCACTACATCTACCGTCTCGGGAATGTACCCCTAGTTCGCAAACCATCGGCCTAATAGCTAACCAGCGTCGAATGGCCACACAATGAAAGGATCTCACAAACCTGGACAAAACCCGAGCGACGCAAAGTTGACAGTGACGTACACCGGACGTAAACTGATACAACATCCCACCACAAGGCCGTCTAAGCGCCGCTGTAATCGCCGACTTTCTCTGGCCAGGACGTCCGACGCCAAAAACACGGCGCTGCGCGTCCCGGCGCGTGCCCTTCGGCGACCCGCTTACAACCCAACATGCTGCACCGAACAAAACAACCAAGCGCAAACCAAGAAAGGCACAGCGCTGCTTGGCGACAGGAGGCGTTTCCAGCTCCATGGAAGCGCCGCGACAACCTGAGACGCTCGCTCTGACCGCTCGGACCGCACCCCTCCAGACCAGCCCCGGACGGGCGCGACGGCGGGGGACCGGCGCCAGCGACGGCGGGCGACTCGCGCCAGCGACGGCGGGGGACCCACGCCAGCGACGGCGGGGGAACCGCGCCAGCGACGGCGGGAGACCCGCGCCAGCGACGGCGGGGGACCCACGTCAGCGACGGCGGGGGAACCGCGCCAGCGACGGCGGGGGACCCACGTCAGCGACGGCGGGGGAACCGCGCCAGCGACGGCGGGGGACCCACGCCAGCGACGGCGGGGGACCGGCGCCAGCGACGGCGGGGGACCGGCGCCAGCGACGGCGGGGGACCGGCGCCAGCGACGGCGGGGGACCCACGCCAGCGACGGCGGGGGACCCGCGCCAGCGTCGGCAGGGGACCAGCGCCAGCGCCAGCGACGGCTCCGCCCAGCATCGGGGCTGACACTCCGAGCGCGGCGGTGAGAACACAGACCATCGTCTCACGTGTGAGGGAGGGGGAGGGGGAGGAGGGCGCTCAGGCCTGCGGGTCGTTGTTCTGGATGTCGGACAGCAGCACCAGCTGGTCCGGGTCCAGCACACTCAACTCGCCCATAGCCGGCTGCGGCTGCGCCACGGCCGCCTCCTCCTCGGCGCGGCGCGCCTCCCGCCGCCGGCTGGCACCGTTGCTCTTGTGGAAGAGGTGCGACAGCGACTTGGTGCGGTTCAGGAAGGCCAGCCGCGGCTTGTGCCGTTTGAGCGGGCTGGCGACGGCGGCCGGGCGGCCGGCCGGCGGCTCCGGGGGGCCGACCGGCGGCCTCTCCTGCTCGGCCGCCGCCGGCCCGGCGGCGGCGCCGTTCGGTGACGCCACCCTGCGGCCTGTCGATCTCCGCCGGGCTGACCGGCGTCTCCTCCACCTCTTCCGTCAGTCGCCGCGACAGCTCGGGCCGCGCCGCCGCCGCCGCCGCGACGCCTTCCCGCCACTGGTCGAAGCTGAGCCTGCGGTCGGGCTCGTCGGGCGGCGCCACGGTCGCCGGCTGCCGCCGCTGCCGCAGCTGCGCCGCGTCCAGCGTGTGCTGCCGCGTCAGCCGGTGAGCGGGGCGCGCTGCCTCCGGCGAGCGGTCGGCGGCGCGCCGCGACCGCACCAGCGGCGGCTCGTACTGGCAGCCGACGGAGACGACGCGCGGCCGCCGGTCCAGGTACGGGTCCGTCTGGCAGCCGGCGTCCGCCTGCTCCGCCGCCCACGACCTTGGTCGGAGAACGGCGTGTCAGTAGCCGGCACAGCCCCAGAGAAGGCCGGGTTAGGCGCAAGGTCACAGCACGGCGCGGTGCGACGCAGCCTGGCACGGCCTCGGTCACCGTAAATGACGGAGAAGCACTGCAAAGATGTGCTGCCCATTCTTACTGCGTTTACACTGCAAGACACGTGATGACAGCAAGGTGGGTGCGTTGCATGTGCAGGCGTTGCAACGACTATCGCGTTGCCAGCGTTAACCGGTTGGATGCCAACAACATCTTACAGTCCATGATCTGGTAATCACACAACACGTTACGACATCGTTAGTAGGAAACACGAGTGCTAAGCATAAGTAAACCGTCAAAGGCGTAGCTAAGGCGACTTATGGATATTAAAACAGACAGCAGAACCAAAACTTCCCTGAAAGCTCTCCAAAGAGCGGCCACAGCCCGAAAAGATCACACGCACACCAAGTCTGGACTATGCACACGGTGCTGATTCTTTCTGCGCCATCCCACATAATTCGTCGTCTGGCAGCGGCGCTTCGGGGAGCGCTGTATGAAAGCAGGGGAGAAGGGTTCAAACGGCGCCTAGCATCTACCACCCGCAGTCTCCAGGGCGGGCGTTCCCGAGGGGCATCACACGCGGCAGCCAGCCGTCCGCCCCGTCCTGTGTTCCCCAATGCCCGGGTCTGTCAGCACTCAGCGGCACGTGCAGCACACCCCACCAGACGGGCAGAGCGCCCCAGCGGCCGTCACCCATGCGGTGCTGCCGCCGCCGCGTCCGGCGGCCGTCAGGCGTCCGGCGCCCACGACAGCCGGTAGAAGGAGGCCCGCCGCCACCCGCCGCTGCCGGCCCTGCGTGCCCTGTGCCGCGTCAGCAGGCGTGCCGTCTGCGCATGCGCGGCAGGACGAGAGCGCGGCGAAGCGGCCACCCCGAGCCATGCGCTCCGGCCTCTCGGCACGCGACTCACTACTGGGCGGCGGGGGCCGGCGCTCTGCGCGGGGGCAGCCGTCAGAGTCGGGTCGCCCGGCGACGGCCGCCACACAGACACGGAGCGCGACGACAGCGGCAGGCACCGCGCGGCGCCGGCCGCCACGACCAACCGGCCACACGTGGTGCGAGACAGTGAACGAGCGACAGCAGAGAGATGACCGCCGGCAGGGAGTGAGAACGACGGGAAGCCATCGAGGCTGACTTGTACTGGAGGCAGGAGGGCGGGGTGACGATATAGCTGGGGCGGCAGCGGTTCCGGGCCACCCGCACGCGCTGCTGAACAGGCAGCGCGCCGAGGGGCCCACCGACGGGAGACTCGGATCAGGAGGCCACCTACCCGCGGTGCTGCGGACTCGAGTCCACCGACGAGAAGCTGGACCCGAACGACAGCGAGCGCTTGTGGACCTCGCGTCTGTTGAACTCGATCTTGGCGATCTCGGCCTGCAGCCAAGCCGGCGTGTCCGGGATGGCGTAGGCCACCAGCAGCTTCAGCAGCAGCAGCGCGTGCTGCCGGCGGCAGCGGGCGGCGTCACGCTCCGTCGCATGGGGGCGCGCGGACACGCCAGCGTGTACGAAATATGTCATCCAGCAGCAGGGAGTGTCGAAGCGGTTTGGACAACATGGTCATGTGGCGAATATGCCAGTCAAAAACGTGTGACAATGACAAGCATCAGTATCCAAAAGTTTACATCACATTTGCATCTAACACAGTTTGCTACGTCATGTCATAGGACAACGGACCGAAGCGACGGATATGCGGTCGCAGCATATTCGGTGCAGCTCCTGCAACATAACAAGCTCCCACCGACAAAACGACTGCCGAGAAGCCTATGTGAGGAGGAAAATCCAACTACAATGCGTGAAAGCCACGGACCTCCCAGCAGGCAGTAGTCCAAATCCACCACGCACTGAACCGCCTTCACAAGTGCCGCATGTGGGCCCGGCTGCGGCGGTAGCTGGGCCCACGCGCCGCGACGCTGATAACACCGCTCACCTCCAGCACGATGACCAGCAGCACAGTCTGCGTGGTGGAGATGTCGGGGAAGAGCCGGTGCACGGGGCCCGACATGCCGATCAGCGCGCAGTTGACGATCACGCCCACCACGCCCATCACCTCCATGGCGTCCTGCCGGCGGCAGCGGCGGCTGCCTCAGATGCCGGCTGTCCGGGCCGCCCGGGCCGCCCGAGCCGAGCGACGCCGGCCTGGACTGTACGGGCGTCGGGAGGGGAGACGCATAGGCACGGGACCGGCCGGGCCGAGCGACGCCGGCCTGGACTGTACGGGTGTTGGGAGGGGAGACGCATAGGCACGGGACCGCCCGGGCCGAGCGACGCCGGCCTGGACTGTACGGGTGTCGGGAGGGGAGACGCACAGGCACAGGACCGCCCGGGCCGAGCGACGCCGGCCTGGACTGCGCGGGTGTCGGGAGGGGAGACGCATAGGCACAGGACCGGCTGGGCCGAGCGACGCCGGCCTGGACTGTACGGGTGTCGGGAGGGGAGACGCACAGGCACGGGACCGCCGGGCCGAGCGACGCCGGTGGACTGTACGGGCGTCGGGGGGAGACGCACAGGCACGGGACCGGCTGGGCCGAGCGACGCCGGCCCGGACTGTACGGGTGTCGGGAGGGAGACGCACAGGCATGGGACGCCCGGGCCGAGCGACGCCGGCCGGACTGCACGGGCGTCAGGAGGGGAGTCGCACACAGGCACGGGACCGCCCGGGCCGAGCGACGCCGGCCTGGACTGCGCGGGTGTCGGGAGGGGAGACGCACAGGCACGGGACCGGCTGGCCGCCGCCGTGGCTGGGGGTCGGGCTCAGGCTGTACTCTGTCGGAAGGCCACTAGGGTTGTCGGGGCTCAGCGGCTGTACACTGTCGGAAGACCACTAGGTGTCTGGGCTCAGGGGCTGTACACTGTCGGAAGGCCACTAGGGTGTCGGGGCTCAGCGGCTGTACACTGTCGGAAGGCCACTAGGGTGTCGGGGCTCAGAGCTGTACACTGTCGGAGACCACTAATGTGTCGGGGCTCAGCGGCTGTACACTGTCGGAAGGCCACTAGGGTGTCGGTGCTCAGCGCCGTACACCGTCGGAAGGCCACTAGGGTGTCGGGGCTCAGCGGCTGTACACTGTCGGAAGGCCACTAGGGTGTCGGGACTCAGGGGCTGTACACTGTCGGAAGGCCACTAAGGTATCGGGGACTCAGGGGCTGTAACAACTGTCGGAAGTTCTACTAGGTGTCCGGGACTCAGAGACTGTACACTGTTGGACCAATGGGATGTTGGGGACGCCGGACACCGACCTTATGCCATGCCCCCCTCCCCCCCAAAAAAAAACACATAGTCCCTGTAAGAAATAAATACAAAAGCTGGATAAAAAAACAGGACGTGTGCTTATTACGAATGGGACGGAATGCTACCTAATATCGTCTGCGTAGTTCATCTGCAACTTTGAAAATAGCCGGCAAGTTGGTTTCTTTCTTTCCCGCAGCAGGGATGAGTAAAGCCACCTGAGTTAATGATGTCTTACAGCAAACAAAAAATGGACAAATTAGAGCTCGCTCTGCATCATCGGCGCGTAACACGACCTAAGCCAGCGGCTCCCTGCGACATTCACCAGCCGAGCGGTCTGAGCTTATCTCATCGCTGCCTCGGCGACTAGGGCAGGTCACCGGTCCACTAAACTGCCTCTAAGATGAACACATTTAAACAAAAACACGCTGCACACAACACACATCTCACACCTGCCTAGGATGATAAGACAATTTAATATCACGTTCTTCTGCACTTATAAGTAAGGCAATGACCCTGTCAAGCGGCACATCTCACAACGTGCCCGAAACAATGCGCAGGGCTCACACAGCGCCGACGTGTCTCCAATACCGTGGCCACCACCCAGAAACCACCCCCGACCGGAGACGCTCCGCCCGGCCCCCCGACACGCACCTGCCACGTGCCGATGTTGCGCGCCCTCTGGCCGAACGGCCGCTGGAAGATGGCGCATAGCTTGAAGGCGTCGCTGCGAATCTCAATCACGTTGTTGAGCAGGGCGCAGAAGGCGGCCAGCGGGAAGGCCGACGAGAACAGGATGACGTAGCCGAACTGGATGAACATCTCCAGGTAGTCCTCAAACGTGCCGTCGTACTGGCGGCGCGGGCGTCGGTGCTCAGTGAAAGTGGGGAGGAGGTGGCGCTCGAGGCGCGCGAGCGACGGCGGCTCGGCGCTCGAGCGGCGTCGCCACGCGGCTGGCCAGAGCATGTCGGCGCTCGGGGCGCACGAGCGACGGCGGCCCGGCGCTCGAGCGGCGCCGCCACGCGGCTGGCCAGAACACGTCGACGCTCGAGGCGCGCGAGCGACGGCGACCCGGCGCCGGAGCGACGCTCGAGCGGCGACGCCACGCGGCTGGCCAGAGCACGTCGGCGCTCGAGGCGTGCGAACGACGGCGGCCCAGCGCTGGGGCGGCGCTCGAGCGACGGCGGCCCGACGCCGGAGCGACGCTCGAGCGGCGTCGCCACGCGGCTGGCCACAGCAGGCCGGCGCCTATTGCACACGGACGAGACTAACCATGCCCTGAAACGTGCGCAAAGCGCAACAACGGGGGACGCATCAAAATACAATTTATCGCGATGCAAATTATGATGAGCTACTGAGAAAATAATAACAAAATCAGAGACTGACTAGAAAACTCATGACCTCCACTGTTTCCTCTTTGACGGGCTGTGCCGTTAGACGTGGAGTGGCTTGCACAACAGTGGAAAATGTTCAATGGCCAAAGCGAGGAACGTCGGAATCATAAGCGACGGTAAGCAGTCTTGCTTTAAAAGCTAAAACCTTTGGAATGATGCTATCAGCGGCCACGACGCTACCCTCCGCTTCATGATCTTTGAAGGATGAGGAACACCACTTGGCAGAGATTAGGATTCACTTCACAGGTTTAGGCGCGTCAGTATGGCCCATCTGCCAGCAAGACTGGTCACAAACTGGATCTCCTCACGGGTGGACATGCTTCACGTTAACAGCTAGGGGGATTGGCCAAAGGGGACGTAGACCCATACGTATATTACAACATCCGTCGCTGCTGATAAGTCACACAGTGCCGTACATTGCTCGAACGAGACAGCCAAGACGGCCGCATGTACAATGCGTCCCATGGAATCTGAAGCCATAAGGTCGGATTTGAGGACAACGCAGCCCGATAGCGCGTACAGCTCGCTGAAGAGGGTGAAAATGGCCTCCGCTACCAAGACCACATGCCGTTTCCTTGGCTTGGCGACTCACCTGCGGCATTGCCGACTCAATTTCAGCTTGGCTGATGTTTCTTGCCTGGCGTCCGGCGTCGGAGCGGGGCGAAGTGCTGCCATCTTCAGGCGCTGGGCTGGCGTCGAGCTTCGGCTTCTCCTCCATAGACGGCGAGACGGCGCCGAACATGGCGAAGCTCATTTGGGCCAGTTTCATTTGGCCTTTCAGGAATGGGATTAGAGATTCCTTGATATTACCCACCACTTGCCGGATGATCAGAAGGGTTCCAAGTTGCTGCGGCAGCACACAAAAGACACTGGTTGACGATGTCCTGTCGCCAGAGAACAAAGAGTAATCCAACACATTTTCAAACGTGCTTAATTTGGAAACCACTATCGCCATCGTAACGAACCACTGCAAGATTGTTAACACAAAAAAAATCCTGAAAAATAACATATTGATATAAAACATTGGCAAGAGCAGCGATAGTCTGTACATTTGGTCAGCATCGCCTCTCAAATGCGACGTTTACCTTCTTTAGCCGCTCCATGTCTTGCAGATAGAAGGCAATGTAGAATAATGAGGCGAAGGAATTTACGAACTGAAACTAAGGCAAACATGACGTCACAAACCCCATAAGTTGACGCCGCGCAAACAACCTCGTAGCGCCTTTAGACACAACTCATTCAATAAATAGTTGAATGTCCCATAACAATTTCCTCACAGTCTTATCACACCGGACGGGTGCGACGGATGGATGAAAAACGTGACAGAGCAAAAACATGCGTATTGGACAGGCACAGGCTGAGGGCGTTTTCCTTATTTAAGAAAAGACGAAGGGAAGGGAAGGGAATGTCGCGACAAGTGAGTCCATGCAAATCCCTCACTGGTGCGAAGTCAGTCAAGCAATGTCACCCCCTGACTTTCGAAACGTAGCTTTACTCTCTGCCTTTTAGTAGCAGAATCTGTAAACCTTCCTTTAAGCTGGTGAGCCGAAGAAACTTGGGAAGTCAAAGGTAAAGAACAAATATTTTGTGAGCGGTTTCTCAGTTTTGTTTTCAAGATGCGATCAAAATTGCAAATGACCCGGGTGACATAGCCGGTGTAATGGGGAAACCCACCCAACCAACAGAAGAAAGTCTTGAACCCAACAGATCTCGGTGAAGAAACGAACAAAGACAACGGCCGAGCCTTCCAAAGCTCACCTCCACTGTGTCCAGTAGCCATCTCAGATCAAGGTTGTCAAACGACCCAGGGTAAAACACCCAAGTGAGCGGGCCAGCTGCAGCCACTGGCAAACACCCACACACTGAACCCTCACTTCTCCCTTGCGGGGTGCTCGAATCCATGCAGCCCGTCACACTCAATAGGCAATAGAGCAAGCAGCAAGCAGGCCTTGAAGTCATAGAGCAGTCGGAACGTTCTAGAAATACAGGGTGCACGAAAGCAAAACATGCATCTGAAAAGAACAGTCAAATAATGCAGTACTGGCGCATTCACCGACCACGAACAAATAAGAGCGAACCTAAAATGGCGAGACCTCTAGACAAGACTTACAAGTTATTAGCCAGGGTAACAAAGGCGTTCATATGTACCCACCGTATTCAGTGGAAGTTTACGAGCGTGCGCAAACACTCGCCCCGTGAAATCCAAATACTTTCCAGGCCATCTCGATCATAGAGACATGCTATGGTGGATCGCACCGCAGAACTGAGTCAGCCCGAGCCGACCATGGCTTATGAAAATGGCGTGCAAAATCAAATAACCTGCGCCTACGTCAATGAAAGAAGGGGTTGCTGAGCCAGCGACATCAAATATTGGCAGCGTACCGCTATGAATAACAATGAACCCCATCCTATAACCACAAGACAGGTCCCAACCACGAGTTCCCTGAAAGGGTCAATGCTGGAAAGCAGCAAGCACAACGAGCGCCAATCAATAAAGACAAGTCAAATGTGACCAACCACATCAAAACCATAGTGGCAACAACAAGAACCGGACTCGACCGGGTCCGAGGAGAGAGGCGAACTACGGGGTGCAGAACTCAATATCCACACACACAGCCGGAGCGACAACCGCGAGCGCCGGTCCCGCATCCTCATGCTGCTTCGGAGTGATGCCAGGCACACCAGACCCGCCAGCAGATCTGGGGGGGGGGGGGGGGACACACCGGGTGTCGAACCGCCAGTCTGACCGAGCCGACTCACCAACGCCAGTTTCACATCAGGTGGTTCTGGTAGCTCTCCTCCAGTCTATAGTTCTCTGCAAAGGCCGGCGGGAGCTGAGTAACCCAGGCTCGGGATCCTGGTGGGCGGGACGGGACGTAGAGGAGCACAGGACCAGGCAGGCGGGACAGGCCAGAGCGAAGCATGAAATCCGGGCAGGCGGCACGAGGCAGGGCGAGCACGGGAACCAGCCACAAAGGAGAGGCCGGAGAGTTGTGTGCGCCACACGACAGTAGACAGGGAGTGATCACCAGCGTGGCGCCGACTGATGAGACCGCCCGAGCTGCAGAGTTCCAGCTTCTAATCCTCACCACGAGACCCTGACCTACGCGCCGCCACAGCTGCTTGGCTTTCAACCTGACGTGGACTACCATCATGCCAGGGCTGTCTGTCGGGCCGACAGCCAACCGTCTGTCGGGCCGACACCCAGCCGTTTGTCGGGCCAGCACCCGGCCGTCTGTCGGGCCGACACCCGGCCGTCTGGGGCCGACCTCACTCGGCCGTCTGTTCGGCCGACACCCGGCCGTCTGTCGGACCGGTACCCGGCCGTCTGTCGGGCCGACTCCCAGTCGTTTGTCGGGCCGACACGGGCCTTCTGTCGGGCCGACACTCCACCGTCTGTCGGGCGGCCCGAGGGCGTCGCCGGCCGATCGATGACGCGGCAGCGGCGGCCGGCATTGTTGGCGGGACTGAGAAATGGCCCGGGGCGCCGCCGTAAAACGCCGCCGACAGCTGACGGCACGCGGCGGCGGCCGGAGCCGGCAGCCACCGGCGCCGCCAGTGGCGGGCCCGCCCCCCCCGCGCCGGCACGCTGGCGCGAGCGCGGCCGCGGCGCACCGGCCCGGAGCTCGCGCCCACACCGGCTCTGGCCGCTCCAGCGATGTCGTGCGGAGGAGGTGGTCACGCCCGGCTGCTGGTCGCGGAGTGAGTCCCGAACAAATTACGAAACCTGTCACACGGCGGCGAAGCATTTTCTGAGACACTCCGCTAATGGCATGGGCTGCCAGGCGCGGTAAGGCAACCGTAAGCATTAGCCACACGCCCAACCAGGCTGGACAGACGGCTGCTGACGTAATTCATCTCGCGATCTGTCCATGGCCCCAACGTACCGAATTCGTTGAGCCAGACAGCGACCTTCTTGTAGACATTCTCCATGAGACCGATGGTAAAGGCCATCAGAATCTGGGGAAGTAGTTGGTCCACGAGCCTAACCCCCACTGGTGTGCTTCTCCCACCAGAACTGAAATGAACAGGCCGTACCACTGGCGAGCATGTCGCCGTAGACAACGTTCGATGTTAGTGATCCGTAGAAGTAGTAATAGATCTGTTACGATGGGTGCAGCTACGCCACTTAAACTAAGAGAAGGACGTCACCAGGGGGGGGGGGGGGGCATTATATCATTATCAGCTACAATGATCCCATTAGCAGTTACGTTTGTGAGTCAGGCAATTTTTATTTAACAGCTGACATTTTTGACATGTCCCTGAGCCCATCGTGGCTCAGGGACCATGTAGTCTATGTTGTGTGAAAAGGAACACAGCGGTGAGTTCATGGCAAGCCTGTCTCC